CAATCTCGCGTAAACCATATTGTACAGCTTTGTTAACAAAGATTCTACATCGTATTCAATTTAAATGTTCAATCGTTGTTATTTTTTCGTACCGAAGAAAATTTTTCGAAATTTTCGAAAGATACTTTTGTAACGTAATGTAAACAGGATTTAAAACAAAAAAAAAAAATTTTACAAGATGAACGTGACAGGAACTAGGTTGAGGAGGAAATTAAAGGATAAAAGAAGCGTGTTCATCTTTTGTTGTGTAATATTTTCCGATAAGTAGCGGAAGCATTGAAAGTAAATGTTCGGGAAATGCGGAGGCGAAAAGTGGTGATAAGCGGGGCATGCATCGAGTATTCTAAATCTATCCTGCAAAATCCATCAATGTATAACACTTTACTCTTGGTGATCGAAGTATAGTGTATATATATATATATATATATATATATATATATAGAGAGAGAGAGAGAGGGAGGGAGAGAGAGAGAATAAAAATATTTAAATAAAGATAAAAAAAATTATACGTGTTTAACGTAAAATATTTTATTTTTTTTAAATGATGGAATAATAAAATAAAATAAAAATATTTAAATAAAAACAAGGCAAATTATTTGTTATTTATTACAATATTATTTATTGAATTAAAGTTGAAATGGAAGAAGAGAAGGAAAAAATGAGAATAAAGAATTATTTATTTGTACAATATGAAAAAACAATAATAAGATTGGAAATAATCCAAAAACGTAACAAAGTTATCACCATCTCTTTGTATTAAATTTCTAAAAATATCCAACACTAAAAATATTCCACAAATGTAAAGAAGAAAAATGGATTTCCCTCGTTTCTTTGGTTATTCACGTTTTAAGAGGATACGAGATACGCGCGAGAAAAGTAACAGCGTAGTAATATCTTTCTGGAAGATATACGACAGATCTGATACACCGTGGCCAATATACCCAGGAGAAACTTGGATCATGGGAAGAAAATGATTTTCCCTAGGGATTTTCGCAGTTGGATTCACGTGACCCGGCTAATCGACGGAGCGCGCACACTCGCTATTTGAATTATCGAGAGGAGAAAGAAAGAAAAAAAAAAAAAGAAAAAGGAGAGAAAAAAAAAATGAAAGCTCTCGCGATACGAATGATGCTTTGGGCGTGGCTGTTTTTTTTTTTTTTTTTTTTTAAGTAGAAAAGGAAAATTCGTCGGCGGGGAAAGAGTTATTGGCTACACTCGCCATGCTAGAGACCCTTCAACCACACGAATTTTCGGTCACGCCAGTGTCCAGACCCGTGGCGACAAATAGCTTCCTGCCACGCGAGAACACTATCGGTTCGATAAAAATGGCCACCTTTCATTAGAACATACATCGAGATACATACTCTTGTGAAAACAATATTTCTATACTATTGCAAAGTGATCAATCGAGTCAACCTGTTACATCGGAACGCATTATCTGAACGAGAATTCGATTGAGAATCACTGATTCTCAATATTTCAATTCTTTCTATGCTACAGGTGCGCCAATGTTTTCATAGTAAATAATTATTATTAATTTTTTTTTCTTAACAATCTTAATTTGTTTTTAACTTTGTATATTATAATAATATCCACGAAAAAAGAATTTTGATAAAAAATTTTTTCTTTATAAATAACGAGGAACGTGACGATTCAACTTCGAGATAATCTCATAAAGGATAAAAATATATAGTCAAAAAAATGTCGATATTAATCCATATCACGTAGGGAGAAAATTCTCTTAAACAGACATGATGTTCTTAGTTACAAGATTATGAAAAGACATCAAGTTATTGACAACACTGGTTACCCTTTCCCTTCATAAGAAGCATCAGTGTCCAAGATGGAGTTTGATGAAGTTTCCAGATGAAATTAAGAGATCCCTACCCTCGTATCTACGAAGCTCGCTTAACTTTATCCCGGCAACCATCTTTGGACCCCTGTTTTCTACGTTAAGTCTCAACAATTCTCCCTCACAATGGCGTGAAGAAAAACAATCAAACTCGAACAGCGGCTCTGAACACGATAAAACCAAGATCATTTCCACTATATAATAATGAAAATTCCCCGCGCCGTTATCTCATCATTTACCAGCTACCTCGTGGAGTAGAGGTTAGGTAATTACGAAACATAATTTTCCATTGATAATCATTAGAGGGAGACAACGTTAATGTGGTAGGATAAGTGCACGGTGTCTCGATGCATAGTAATCGATAGGCCCACGAACTATGATTAACACATGAACACTGAATATTTCGTAGCGTTGATTGCGTTTGATAAAACTGATGATTATAATGATGATTATTTATGTAAATTTATACCATTGCTATTGCCGTTGCACAAATGAAACTTGGATAAAAATATGCAAAGATGCAAATGAAGTAAATTGAATCTAATACATTTTGCAACAGTTTTGATTTATTAAGAGGGAAAAATAAGACAAAAATATTCAGACTGCAATGCTGTTAATGTATGAATAACGGATTGGGATATAAAGTAAATCTAACAATAAAGTATGGATATTCAATAATAAAATTCTATATTTGGTATCTGGAAAAATGACAGATTATATCAAATTATATCGCAAATTATATAAAGAATTTATAAAAAAAAAAAAATGTCAATATATTAGTATAAATAAAAATATCAGATTTAATAAAAGTAAATATAGAACATGAAATATTTAATCAATGTTGTACAGATTCATTAATATATATGATGTTATTTTGACACAAGTTCACCAGTTAAAATTATTTTAAACATGCATGCCTATCTATTGAAAAGTTTATACACATTGATTGTACGTCAAATTAATATTGTGAGGAAAGTTATTGAAGTTTATTGGATTATCTTTAGAAATTCTATGGAATCAAACTTGATTGAAAATTTTTTCGAAATAGCACGATCAGCAAATCACTGACCGACTTTGATTTGAGCGGTACTTTTAGCAACCTAACCTCTTTCATGTGTTGAATTAGAGTTATATAGGTTCCACGAAATCAATGAAGAGAATGTAGTTTTCTTTATTAGTCACGAAAAAATATCCAAACTCAGAAATGATATATATACTATGATCAAAAATTTATCAATATGTATATTATTCTAGACTTTATAATATAAATATATATATAATTTACAAAAAAAATTGATGTTATCTTTTTTTAATGAATGATTTTTGACACTTATTTATTTTAAAATAAATTATACTGCCATAATTTTCATTTTAGATATATCAAATCAACTCTCACTATTTAATTCAAAGTCTTATGTTAATTTTTTTTAATTTTTTTTATCTTGAATAGAAAAAAATACGTTTTTAGGTTAGATAAGTTATTACAAAATGGAATTATAATTCAAAAAAGATTACATATCATTAATATGGAAAATACAAATGTATCAAATACTTATAACATGTTATAGCATACACGCAAAAAATTATAATTATCTATATTTATAAAGAAATATTTACATTTCTAATATCTGATAATCCTGTATTTGTCAATTTCAATAACATAAAAAGTATATAGCCTTGCATTGTATCATAATAAATCCTATTCAATTTCTTAAAAGAATATCTACTTACTAATTTACAATCCGTTTTCATCTATTATATCTTTTCTCTTGCTTTTCTGCAAGTACTGACAATTTTCTCATCTTGGCATAGTACATTCTTTCAAAACATTCATGACAAACCATTAAGACACGGCCAGTGTTTCCAGACAGTAATATTCAACCAATAAAGTGAATAGTGAAAAACTGGGTCTCTTTGATTCTTCATCGATCCATTAGCTGACAACAAGCCCGGTCTTTTCCGCCTCATTCCCGCGATTCCGGCTCACGAGTGCAGAAAAACGTTCGATGCATTCGCGGGTACTACGTCGAAAAGAACGGTAGAATTGGTAGTACGGGATCGGAGAGTGGGAGAAAAAGCGGAGAACGTCGATTTAGGTGGAGGTGGGGATATTGCAATCCTGACAAAGAAGGAAGGTATTTCTAAAGGTTTCAATGGTCGGTCGGGGAAAAAGGGAGAAAACGTTCGATGGAGGGCGAATCTCGCTACGGCCAGGTATTTCGATATTTGTAGAAAACGAGACAAAAAGGCGGAACCGTATTTAAAAAGCGAACGTCGTCCGCGCTCGCGCGCATTGCCTCGGGATAAATCGTTCCAGGGACAAAGGAACGTTCACAGGCGAAACACGCGTTTTCCCCAATGACAATAATTGCTCTCGTTCCGTACACGATAGCCCCGCTAATGAACGGTAATCGCATCGGCGGAAAAACAATAGCAGCCGGTTTGTAGGTTAGGCGCACGGTTATCGTAAGTTCTAGTAGTTTTAAACGGAACTAAGTATTTTTTTTCTTTTTTCTTTTTCCCGAATTATCTTCTCATTTTCTTTCTACAATGAAAATATTTTGCACGATATTTTTGAAAACAAGATGTGTGTCGACTGAATAGGAATGTTCTGTAGTTTTTATTGAGGTTAAGTATTTTGCAATTATATTTTGTAGTTTTTGGCACTTTTATTGTTATTCTTAAAATCATAATAAGATTAAATATTTATTGCACGTTATAAAGATAAATTTATTTGGAACTAAAAGTAGTTTTGAATCGATAAATATCTTTGATGAATATATTGGCTGATAGTATTCCATGCTTTTGTTTTAAAAATCAATCAAAGAATACAATATTTTTTTAAAAATTGTTCATATTTATGAATTTTATTTGAATTTAGATTTAACTTTGGATTGAATTGAGTTAAATTTAAATTAGATTTAAATTAAATTCTTATAAAACATAATAAAAAACAATAATAAACATATAATAATGAGCAATATTAGAAGAAAGTTTTAAGATGAAGAATGTAAAAGAAGAATTTAGATCATATTTAGATTATATTTAAGTTTCCTTTTATTTTTCTATATATATTTACTTTTTATACGTCACATAATATCAGAACGCATAAATATATGGTATCAAAAGTTTTTGATACTTTAAAATTAACTTCAACATTAGCTAAATTTAGGTTATGTGAATTCTATACTATCATCCAATATAGCTGTTTTTTTATTTCACACGAAACGATGAAACCACTAGATCGAAAATTTGTCGCGTGAGACGATTCTACAACGACGAACACAAATTTCTCGGGCATAGCGAATGCAATTTGCTTCGGCGTCTGATTCCACGTAATCTCAATTGTTTCGAGCGGCGTACATAATTCATTCAACAATGTCTACAAAACGGTGTCACTTCGTCGATGACGGAGTTATTGTTCGCAGGATAATAGATGCCCTACGCTTTTTCCAAATCCCGGAAAATAATTAAGGACTTCGATGAGATAGGAAAATAATGGTGAGAGATCGTTTAAAAACATGTGTTTGGTAAAAAGGAGAAAAATAATGGAGAAAAAAGACCTAACCTATCTAGCATATGTTCATATGAATAAAGAATATTTGGAATATTTTTGTATTTTTGTATTAGAATATTCATAATGAGACAGAAGATTCACAAATTCATTACTCGAGAATAAAAAATTTGAAATATAGACAAATTATAGTATAAATCTTATTGTAGCATAATCTATAATTATGCAATTTTATTATTTTAAAAGATTATAATTAAAATTGAAAATTGACTCAAAATTATAATCCATAATCACATATAGTATTATAATATATATAATATTTTATAATTTTATTTTTTATTTTATATTATTATATTATTTATATTATTTATATATTATATTATTATATTATATTATATATTATATTATATTATATATTATATTATATAATTTATAATTATTTTTATTTTATAATTAAAGGGAACCAAATGATATTGAAGTCTTTGAGAAAACTTTTGGTACATCAAAAATTAAAAAAAATGATATGATTAAGAGAGTGAGATGTGATTAATGACTCTTATGAGTCATTAAGTGATCAAAGTATGAGAAAATCCTGAGGACAAGCACATAAGTATTTTTTTTAAAAAGACTTAATTTTTTACTTTTTACTTTTTTCTTCCTTTTTTTTTATTTAATTATATTTAATCTTATAATAATTTTATTGAATACTGTTAAATCTATCCAATATCTTTAAATTATTTCTTTATTTTTAATGAAGAATATTTATTTTTTACAGATGCATGCATCCAATATATATTATCTTTCACATGATATTAAATATTAAATTAAAAACAGACAAATTTTTCAGAATGTTTGTCATCTCTCATTAGCTCGTAATGAGATACTTTTGATTTATTTAATGCATGTCCTCTAACTGTCACCTGATAGCATAGGGGAAAAATATATAGGTGGAAATATGTTTTACAATAATACCTAAATGATACTCGACGTTATCGCGTCCGGCCAATGATGATGCATCACCGGGTATTATACTTCTTCTCATTAGCATTAAAACAAACGTTTATTTTATGGCTTCCATCTCGTTTTTTACCAGCAAATATTTACTAGCTTGCGGAATGTTCATTGGTGAAGAATCGTCCATTTCCAGGCTTCAGCAAATTTTTAAATCCGAACCATTCTTCTGTTTTTTTTAAATTTTCTTTTTACTTTTATTATGTATTGTTTGTTTTCAAGAAAATGTGATTTTTTTTTAAATAAATTTTTTACTCTATTTTTCTTTTAGAAAATATAATTTTCTCGGAATGGAAAATATTTCAAAATAAAATTAATTAGTTATCTAATTTTTTAAAAAATAAATATTTTTAATAAATTTTTTAAAAAATAAAAGATTTTTAAAAGAATGTAAAATATTTTGTAAAAATAACTGATATATACGTTTTCAACTATTTCGATATCAAAACAAAAATTTATTTTTATTTTATCATATAATTATACCATATTATTATTTTACTTTAACTTACACAAAGTAAATGCTTTTTAAATAAGATTTTTAAAGAATTTTTTGTAGTTTTATGACATTAGAATGTATACCAATATAATAATTCGAAAATTATATTTAGACAATCCGTAAAAAAAAAAAAAAAAAGAACAGTTGTTTATGAGAATAGTTATTTTGAATTCCAGGAAAACGCTTTCTGTTTGGTACCATGTTTTGGAGACAGCCTCAATAAGTTTATATGTATAAGACGTAGTCATGACATGAATTCTTAAGAGCGATGCCCCATTTTTAGGTTATGTCCGTAGCAGTTCATAAATAGAGAAGTCAAACTGCGATATAGAAGTCTCTTCCTTATGAATGTTGGTATCAAGAAATATACCTGGCTTTCAAAGACGGCTTTCTTTCATTTAAAGATCTTCCTCGATCTTTAATCTTAACCATCCATACAATCAAAACAGGCTTATTCTTTATCATTATTATTATCCTTATAATTATTGATGAATAATGCTTATTTACAGCTATTCTTCTAATTAAGAAAAAAAATCAATATTTCTTTCTATTTTTTTAAAGAATATATCTGCTCGAAAATTAAAATTTTTTAATTATTACAAATTTGTTACAGAAACATGGATAAATTATAAAAAATATCAAAGGAATATTTTATAGGTTATTTATAAAAAAAAAAGATGTTAAAAATAATTTTTTGAAAAATTAAATATTGTTAAACGAAGAATGACTTTCAAAACGTGATAATTTTGCTCAATGATTAGAAAAATAATACATAATTGTTTATCAAGTAAATATAGTATATAGTATATAGTATATAGTATATAGTCTGACTAGGAGCTGATGTTAGTGAATTATCAATATTAACTAATATTGGACATTGCTTATGGAGTAAGTTGAACAATTAAAGCTAATTTAAGAAGAATTTTGCGAAATATATTTGAATTATTATTAATTCTTATATAATTAAAAAACGAAATTCTATTTTCAAAATCCCATAAACAAATAAATCTCAAAAAATCAAAATTCCAAACAATGTAAAAAGACACAATATATAAAAAGATTTTATATAATTCTAATAATACTAAGACTTAAAACTTTTTTTTTTCAGAAACAAAATTTTATTTTCGAAATCTTATGAATAAATAATTTCAAAAATCAAAATTCCAAATCTGAAAAGAAAAAAATAAAACTTTATAAAGCAATTTTACTTGCAACGACTTGCAAATAATAATAAATACATGAAAAATATTCAAAAAGCTTTTTTGCATGATTTAATAGCATTATGGGACTGGAAACGTTCAAGATTACCAGAACCAGTTAATCTGAAAACCTGTACAAATATATATCCGACTAACAAGGGATGGGATTCTACCAATGAATATTACTTCTCCGATTATTAATTCCATTAATATATCTCAACCGTTTCGACCGTTATAATACCGTTAAAATTATACTAATAAATCGTCCTGATAATCCCGCCATTAACGTGTACCTCGCCTCGTTTTATCGACAGCGTTTGTCGTTTCGCGAGTCATTGTCGCGGAAAATATCCGCTCCACCAGTCTGGTTGGATTGTTCACCCATTTACAGGGTAGAAATCTCGTATGATAGAAACCACTGTATTGTACTAAGTGCCAGAAGATAAATTTGTTCATTCGTCTTGTAAAGACATGTCTAATCATTGGAAAAAGCTTCTCAAAAGTGCGATGCATTTGATATCTCATATTTTACTTAATGGAAATAATTTTGTATTTATTGTATTTAAGTATTTCAAAAAATTTTTATTGTATTCTATGTTTGGTATTTAATATAACTTAGATTATTTGAAATTTCTTTCTTAGAACTCTCTATTCTTGTTTCTTGTAAGTGTTTTGAAAAAATTTTTAAGAAATATTATGTATTGATGAAAATATAATTATATTTAAATTATATAAAAATGAATTAAAATAAATTAAAAAGAATTAATTTTAGATGAAATATGAACATAGAAATAAAATGAGAAGATAAAAAATTCTGTCTGTGCCTATATGAGCAGTTATATTCAAATCCTTGTTAAATTTTCACTTTACAAAGGAAAATATAGAATTTTCTTTCACTTTTATATTTCATTCACTATAATGAAATATTTTTTAAAACAGGAGATCAGAGAAATAATAGAAATAAAAAAAAAATAATTTTTTTCACTTTTCAACATTTTATATATTATTACAAATTATATTCTAAATCAATCAATATTATATTGGATTGATCATCGATATACTTATTTTATTCAAAATTCTTTTGCAGAAAAGTCGGTAAGATAAAATAAGTACATGCATGTATATGCATAATTTTATTCTTCAACTACTCCATAAATTCTTCCAAGTTTTTACATTAATCACTTATAAAATTAATATAAACCTTTTTTAAAGCTCAGCAAACTATATAAGAAGAGTAATTTAGTTTGCTTTATTACTAGCTTCTATACTGATGAAGTACAACTTTCTTTATTACATTAATTAGTTATTATATTAATTTTTTCTTCTGCATCATGCATACATTGACCAAGATAGAAAATCAAAAAAATAAAAAAAAGAACAATATTTTTCATCTTCCATTGTGTTATATTTATATTTTTGAAATTTATTTAATATAAACAAAATAATATATTCAAAATTACATATAACCTCAATTCAAGTTTTTTATAAAATAGAATATTTAATATTATATTTATTTTTTTCAATTTATGCATTTTTGCACTTAATTAATCTAGATACTTTTAAATATTAGAGTTTTATCACAAATCATTGATCATTAATAAAAGATTTTTCTTTTTACTTTTTTATTTCTATACTATTTCTCATTTAGTTATACTAGCCAAATTTACTGAAATAATGAAAAAGTTACCAGGAGGCTGTTAATTGATCCCAGTGGGAGCAGGCAACCAATCAGAAAACGAAAGTTAAGTCGATCCCACCAATAGCGGTTCAAAGGTATGTTATCAGTTTTCCGTTAAAGAAAGAAGGGAAAAAACGTGATGGCAGGTTAATTAGAAAATACGAGTTCCGAGATTCGAAGAAAAATTCGACCTTTCCATAGTATACAGTAAAAGTGTTAGAAATATTATACGAAGTGAAACGATAATTTTCTTTTTTTGCGTGAGTTTATTAGTTATTTCAAGACTGAATTATATTTCCTTCGATCCTTAACCTTACTAAATAAGAGAGAAAGGGATTAGGAAATTGTGTGTATGCGTCTTTTCATCGATGAATCCATCAATTTTATTATATATATATTAATCACGTTCACGGTTATTGCAGCTTCTACGAATTGGACAAGTTGGGACTATTGTTAGGCTTTTGTTCTGTTCATTCAACGAACAATCGATAAAAAAAGTAAATGAGGTCGATCGATGTCGATTTCATGAATATTTTTCTGGATTCCTTTTCTCATTAACGGCAAATTTGATTCGAATATATAAATCATTATTGAATAGAATTTTTCATAAATAAATATTTGAAGAAATTTGAAGAAAATTTGAAAAACAGAGCAATTAGATCGATTTTATCGATGACTTCAAGAGGTTATGTATCGTGTTTATTTATTACCATCTATATTATGGTATTTTTTTTTCATTTTTTCTACTTGTGAATAATATTTTTTAGATGTTTCATTCGAAATAGTAATTTTTTATTGTTTTTTATGAATTGTTTTCTTTAATGTAAAAAAATTTTCTTTGATGGAATTTCTTGACTTATTTTCTATTGAAATATATAATTTTATATATAATATTAATACTTAATAGATTTAATGATTAATGATTTGAATATATGATATATAATGACAATTAGTAATTACAATGAGTATTCAATGATTTATTTGATTAATGATCGACTATTAAAATTCTCTGTCATATAATTATATACTATTTGAATCTGTTCTCGGATTTAATATCAATTAGTTTTAGTCATCAATAGTTATTCACTTAATATAACATATATTCGTATACAGTAAATAGAACTTTAATTTAATTTTCAGGTACAAACTAACAATTAACAATTGATGATTAACAATTAACATTTTTAATTATCGATTGATAATTAATAATATATAATATATTTTTCATTATTGATTGATAAATAATTTCATTAATTGATTAAATCAAATTTTTATATTTTTAAATTTTTATTTACTTTTTTAAATTATAAGTTCTAATTATATTAATAAATATCAATAATAAAAATTTTATAATATTAATAAAAAAAATTATAAAATTTTGAAAAAAAAAATACTTAATCTGAAAAATTTTCCAATTATAGAACTTCATTTATGAATAATATAAACAAAATTTAATTGAAAATACTACCATATTAACTAATAATATATTTTCAGTTACATCTTCAGCTAGATACCATATTAGATAAAATCATTTCGTGATAACAAATGACAGCAAATTTGTTGGCAAGCTCCTCCAAAATCCCTAGCTTGTCCACAGACTTAATTGCAGAATATTACCTCTCCTAAACTACTTCATCTCAACACACATACCACAACTTAACACACACTTAATACATTAAGAGCTTCGTATATTTATGGAGAATTGGTAAAACAAGATAGAAATAAATAAATATAGGTATGTTTCAAATATCTATTTAATTCATAGAAATTCTAAGAATATTAAATTTTTTTAAAGAAATATAAATTTTTTTCAGGATTTGAAAACATTATTTTTATATTGCTTCATATATATATATTGAAATGTTTATAA